GAGGACGAGGAGGAGGAGGAGGAGGAGGAGGAGGAAGAGGAGGAGGAAGAGGAGGAGGAAGGGGAGGAGGAGGACGAGGAGGAGGAGGAAAAGGAGGAGGATGATGATGATGAGGAGGAGGAGGAGGAGGACGAGGACGAGGAGGAGGAGGAGGAGGAGGAGGAGGAGGGGATGGAGCAAGACGGCGTTGTCGGTGGAAATCCGTTCGAAGTCCGTCCCCAGACCCCTCTCGGGTGCCATCCTGGCCAGCTTCCCATCCCAGGGCGATCTTTGCCGACCCTACGGTCCGAGGAGGGCATTCAGAGACGGAAGCGACCTTCGATCGTTTAACCTCGGTTCTGCAACTTCGTTCCGACGACGGCGGCGACGACGACGACAACCGACCGACCCAAAATCCGGTCAAAATTCGATCCCCCCTTCCCGGGGCCCAGCATCGGCCAGTTGGATCCCTGGATCGATCTTTGAGGGGCCCCGAAGAAACCGAGAATGGAAAGAAACATCTGGCGCTGTTTGTCTCTATCCTCGAATCACGATCGGCGACGACGACGAGCCCGCGCGGACGCGCAGGGGGGCAAGTGCACGTTTGGCGCTTCGTGCGTCTTCCTGCACAGCGCCGTGGAGAAGCTGGGGCCCGACCGCATCGCCCTCGCCGACGTCGGCGGCCTCGGCGACCTTCGGCAGCCTTCGGCGGCCTTCGGCAGCCCCCGGCTGCCGCTCGGCGGCCCGGTGGCGGCCTGCGGTAGCCCCTCGGCGGCCCGCGGCCGCCCGCGGCGGTTCCTCGGCGGCCCTTCAGCGGCCCTTCGGCAGCCCCCTGGCGGCCTGCGGCGGCCCTCGGCGGCCCTGTGGTGGCCCAGGGGGCGTCGGCGTCGTCGTCGTCGTCGTCGTTCTCGCCGCCGCTGCGGCCGCCCTCGGCGGCCCGTGGCGGCCCAGAGGGCGGCGGCGTCGTCGTCGTCGTCGTCGTCGTCGTCGTCGTCGTCGTTCTCGCCGCCGCCTCCGATGTTCGAGGCTCGGGGATCGAGGTCGTTGGGCCTGGGGGGGCGCCTCGTTGCCATGGGTTGATCCGCCTCGAGATCCTGGCCAGAGCGCGCCCCAGGACACGTACAGGGGCTGACCGTCGTCGTCGTCTTCGTCGTTACCACTGCTGCTGTCGTCGTCGTCGCCGCCGCTGCGATCCAGCCTGGGACTTTTTGTTTGTTTTGTTTTGTTGTCAGTTGTTTTGTTTTGTCTTTGTTTTTTTGCCAGCCGCGTGTTTTACTCTGAGTTAGGCTTCTGGGAGCTGCTTTCGGGCCCCATGGCCATCATGGACGCATCGGGCGTAAATTGCCCCAGAGGTCTCTGGGGACCCAGCCCTACACCTCGAGGATAGAGGTTTCTGGTCGTCCCTCGCCCTGTGAGAGGCTCTTTTGTGGCCACTGCTGGACGCAGCTCGAACAGGTGGCCGTCGCCGCCGCAGTCATCATCGCCGCTACCTTCGCCGCCGTCGCCGTCACCGCCGCTGTCGCCGCCGCAACCGCCGCCGCTTTCACCGTCGGTGTCGCCGCCGCCGCTGCGGCCACCGCCGTCGTCCCCGCTCCCTTCCCAGCTGTTGCCGTCAGCATCCCACCAGGGCGTGCCCGTGGGCAGGCCCAGGGGTTGGTTTTCGAGGCGGGGGGGTCCAGGCCTCTCGGCGTCGTGAAGGAGCCTGGATTGGCATACTCCGAGACTTCGGTGTCCGGGTGGCCGTTCTCGGGCCCCACGGCTACCCGCGAACCGACCCAGCACGACACGGGTTCGACAGCATCGAACCGCGTCCGCCGCCGTCGTCGCCGACACCGTCGATGGCGTCATCGTCGTCGTCGTCGTCGCCGTCGTCGTCGTCGTCGCTGTTGCCGCCGCCGCCGCGGCCGCCGCGGTCACCGCCGCCGCCGTCGCCGCTGCCGCCGCTGTCGCCGCCGTCATCGCCGCCGCAACCGCTGCGGCGGCGGTCCCACCCCCCCGCCGCCGCTGCCTGCCATCCAAAAAACACCAACCCCATGGTTTGTCCAGGGGTGCATTCTGGCCATAGCCGTGGCCACGAGAAGCGAGAAGCCGCTGGAAGTTCCGAGGGGCCGAAGCATCTTCGAATACCGATCGTCGATGTCCAGCCGTCGCCTTCCTCGTCGTCGCCGCCGCCGCCGTCGTCCCCGCCACAGTCGCCGCCGCCGTTGCCGCCGCCCGGCAGAGGTCGACGGAACCTCGGAGCGCGCTGGCGCAGATTGGGAGGGCGCTGGCGCGGACTGGGTGAGCGACGCCAGCAGCACGTCTGGCTCCTCGGGGCCGTCGTGGTTGCCGCCGACGGCGTGGCCGCGCCACCGCTGTCGTTTCTGGCGATGCCGTCACCGTCGTCGCTGCCGCCGCCGCCGCCGTCGATGCGTCCGCCGCCGCCGTTTGTCGCCGTCGAAGCCGCCGCCGCCGGAGTCATCGTTGCCGCGGCCTTTGTCTTGGTCGCCGCTACTCGCCGCCACTCGCCGCAGCCGCCGTCGCCGCCTTTGTCGCCGTCGCCGCCTTTGTCGCCGTCGCTGTCGCTGTCGCCGTCGCCGTCGTCGCCGCCGTTGTTGCTGTCCCCGATATTTCCGCCGTAGTCGCGCACTCGCAGAGATCGTGGCGCTGGCTAGTAGTAGTAGTCGTAGTCGTAGTCGTAGTCGTAGTTGTAGTCGTAGTAGTAGTAGTAGTAGTAGTAGTAGTAGTAGTAGTAGTAGTAGTAGTAGTAGTAGTAGTAGTAGTAGTAGTAGTCGTTAGTAGTAGTAGTAGTAGTAGTAGTAGTAGTAGTAGTAGTAGTAGTAGTAGTAGTCGTAGTCGTAGTAGTAGTTCTCGTAGTAGTAGTAGTAGTCGTCGTCGTCGTCGTCGTCGTCGTCGTCGTAGCAGCAGTAGTAGTAGTAGTAGTAGTAATCGTGGTAGTAAAAGTAGTTCTAGTAGTAGTAGTAGTAGTAATAGTAGTAGTAGTAGTAGTAGTAGTAGTAGTAGTAGTAGTAGTAGTTAGTGGCGTGTAGTAGTAGTAGTAGTAGTAGTAGTAGTAGTAGTAGTAGTAGTTAGTGTAGAGTAGTAGTAGTAGTAGTGGCGTACTATTGTAGTATACTAGAGTACTTATTATATGAGTAGTTAGTAGTTTTTAGTAGTAGTAGAGTAGTAGTAGTAGTAGTTAGTAGTAGTTAGTTAGTAGTAGTAGTAGTAGTAGTAGTAGTAGTAGTAGTAGTAGTAGTAGTAGTAGTGGTAGTGGTAGTAGTAGTAGTTAGTAGTAGTAGTAGTAGTAGTAGTAGTAGTAGTAGTAGTAGTGTAGTAGTAGTCGAAGTCGTAGTCGTAGCCATAGTCGTGGTAGTGGTACTAGTAGTAGTAGTAGTAGTAGTAGTAGTAGTAGTAGTAGTAGTAGTAGTAGTAGTAGTAGTAGTAGTAGTAGTAGTAGTAGTAGTAGTTGTAGTAGTTGTTGTAGTGGTATCCGCGACCTGAAGGCACTGCTGCGCTACGACAAGCTCAAGAAGGAGGGGATCTCAGTGGTCAACGCGGTGGACCTCCTGAGGTACCTGCCCACGGTTGAGCCGCTGGCGGTTGGCACCGTCTTCAAGCGCTATGCTCCACACCAGGCACAGTGGGAGGGCCACTATGTGCTGATGGATGGGGCTCACCTGGGAGAGCTTGCCCACGTTCGAGTGGACCGACCTCTACGCGCAGGTCGCCTGGGGACTGAACGACCCTGAATGGGCGGGCTACAGCAAGAAGGCGCGGGACAAAGCCAAGAGGGGACGCCTGGAGATGGCGCACAGGGAGTTGGCGCTCTACGAGCGCCGCCACGACCTGAAGGAGGGCAGCCTCTCGGGCGGCGGGGGTGGCACAGGGGCCGCCCCGCGCGCCACCCCCGTTCGCAGCGCCGGCGCCCCGCCAGCGAGCGGGGCCCGCGGCAGCGAGGACCCGCCGCCACCGCCAGCTTGAGTCCCGCCAGAGGCCGCGGCCATCATGGGCCCCCCCGCCGCCGCCGCCGACGGCGCCCCCTGGTGTGCCGCCGCCGCCGACGCACCCGCCGCCGCAGACGGACTCGCTCCCGCAGCAGGCCCCAAGCGCTGCAGCCCTGAACGTGGCCCTCGGTGAAGACCTCGAGCGTCGGATCTTTGGGCCAGCGGGGCAGGCGGGGGGCAGTGGCGACCTCGGCGGGGAGGCGCGGGCGCTGCCGTCGCAGGTCTTCGCCGCCATCGCGCAGGGAACAAGCCAGCAGGCCTGAGGAATAGTGCCCGGCAGGTTCCAGGGCCCCGACAGGCCGCGTGAGTGCATGCCGAATTGTCTACTTGCTGCGTTCTGTAGCGCGGCGGGCCCATAGCGGCGCCCCCGCCCGCGTGGCGTCGCATGTAGCCTGTGCCTAGGCTAGGCAATTTGGCTACCTGTGCACTCTGCCGCCTTGGCTCGCCAACTGGCTTGCCATCTCGGCCTCCTCGCGTTCACTTGCGCTCGTTGGCCTCGCTGGCGGTGCTGGGGCAGCCCCGTGTACTGCAGCGTCGCCGTCGGGCGCCTGGCCATTCTGGCCTGCCATCCTGGCCTCATCTCGCGCCTTCATGCGCTTGTAGGCTTGCGTGGCGGTGCCGTGTACTGCTATGCTGCCGCCTGCGCCGTACTTTTTGCTGTAGGGACCAGCTGCCCTCGGCCAGGCGTCAGTCGCTGCAAGCACGTCAGACCTGCCCTTGGCTTGTCATTCAGGCTTAGCCTCGCGTCTTTCCGCGCTTGTCGGCCTCGGTGGCGGTGCCGGGGTCGCCCCGTGTGCTGCTGTGCCGTTGCTGGGCTGTTGGCCCAACTGCCCGCGGTGCGAGCGCCTGGCGTTGCGAGCGTGTCAGACCCGCCCTTTCACCCAGAAGAGGTGCGCGCTACGTACTGGTAATGAGGCAGCCACAAGGGCGCTCCTCCCTAGGTGGTTGAGCCGTGGTGATGTGGTGCACGAGACCGCCAGTAGTAGTAGTAGTAGTAGTAGTAGTAGTAGTAGTGGTAGTAGTAGTAGTAGTAGTAGTAGTAGTAGTAGTAGTAGTAGTAGTAGTAGCAGTACTGGTAGTAGTGGTAGTCGTAGCAGCAGTAGTAGGAGTAGTAGTAGTAGTAGTAGTAGTAGTAGTAGTCGTAGCAGTCGTAGTCGTAGTAGTAGTAGTAGTAGTAGTAGTAGTAGTAGTAGTAGTGGTATTAGTAGTCGTAGTAGTAGTAGTAGTAGTAGTAGTAGTAGTAGTAGTAGTAGTTGTAGTGGTTGTAGTAGTAGTAGTAGTAGTAGTAGTGGTAGTAGTAGTAGTAGTAGTAGTGGTAATCGTAGTAGTAGTCGTAGTAGTAGTAGTAGTAGTAGTAGTAGTAGTAGTAGTAGTAGTAGTAGTGGTCTTAGTAGTAGTGGTCTTAGTAGTAGTAGTAGTAGTAGTCGTAGTAGCAGTAGTAGTAGTAGTAGTAGTAGTCGTAGTAGTAGTAGTAGTAGTAGTAGTAGTAGTAGTAGTAGTAGTAGTAGTAGTAGTAGTAGTAGTAGTAGTAGTAGTAGTAGTAGTAGTAGTAGTAGTAGTAGTAGTAGTAGTAGTAGTAGTAGTAGTAGTCGCGGCGCCGTCCTGCGGCTGCGTCGGACGCGGCCTTGCAGGCCCAGGGCCGTGGGGGCGCGGCTGCCGCTGCGGTTCTGCCCCTGTGGCGAGTGAAGGGCCGCCAAATTTTGGCCGTGCCCGTCTTCCCATCGGATGTGGCGCGGCGAGCAGGAGAACCAACGGCGGATTGCTACTTTTTTGCCTGCGCTGCGCAGGCCATGCGTCGGAAACGAACGGGCGCGGCCTCGTAGGTAGTTGCCCTGATGGGCCAACAGCTTCCGCCCCCGCGAATCGCAGCCCCGTCCTTTGGTGAAGCGCCACCCCAAAAAGGGGAAGGGCGTGCTTGGTGCCCTCCCTCCCTTTCTCGGAAGAGCTGAAGGAGTGTTGGGCGGGGCACTTGGAGGCCTCAATTCAGGCGAACCCGAAATGGGCGGGCCCCGCGGTCCCTTATGAGAAGGTCCTCAGGAGGCCCGCCATCTCTGAAGCGTTCGGTTCCTATGGGCTCACGCTGGTCCAAACCCAGTCGATGGGTTCCCAGGTCTTGGAGGCTAGAGCTCAGCGAGAGCAGGGGCTATAGAGCCCTCTCTTGGGAATTCAATTCGGCATGGCGCACCTGTGGCAGGGTCTCCTCTTCATCCTCCTCTGCTCCTTCCTCCCTCTCCTTTCCTTCTTCCTTTTTCCTCCTCCTGCTCTTCCTCATCCTCCTCTTCTTCCCCCTCCGCCCCATCCTCCTCCTCCTCCTCCTCCTCCTTCTCTTCCTCCTCCTCCTCCTCCTCCTCCCCAGCCTCCTCGTCCTCCTCCTCCTCGTTCTCCTCCTCCTCCTCCTCCTCCTCCTCCTCTTCCTCCCACCTCCCCCTTCCTCTTCTTCTTCTTCCTCCTCCCTCTTTCCCCCTCCGCCTCCTTCCCCCTCCCTCCTTCCTTTTCCCGCTCTTTTCCCCCTCTTCTTTCCCCCCTTCCCCCTTCCGCCGAGTCACCGTGATTTTCGTGTTGAGTTTGCATTGTTTCAGGGCGTCTTCGCGCTGAGGACCCCGCGTGTCAGAGCCGCATCCTTGAGGTGCTGATGAGGTTTCCGCAGGGGCTTGGACCGCAGGGGATCGGGCTTGCCGCGGTGGCGCCAGCCGCGCTGAAACTGCTGACAGTGGAGGCCGCGGTCGCAAGCAGCCCCCGGAGGTGTGCAAGGGCGAGGTGGCTCTCCGACTTGTCCCTCGCCCCCTCGCACGCATTACGCTGGCCTCTCAAAGAGCGCTTGTTGAAGCCCACATCCAGCAAATTCCCCCCATTTCGACGATTCTTGAGGGCTCCAGCCCCGCCGCGTTGCCCTCGTAGGGTTGGTCCCGCCGGACCGACAGCGCGCGCTCGCGTTGCTTCGCCCCGACCACGATCGGGTAACAGGCAGCTCGTTTGGCCTGCGCAGCCCCTCCAGGTGGAGGCCCCGCGACCGCGGGTGACCCCCCGCCCGCGCCAGGCTCGCGGCCCAGCTGGGCGGACCAGTCGCAGGACGTGCGCTATGAAGAGAGGGCGCCGTTGCCGCCTCCGCCGCCGCCGCCGCCGTCGTCGTCGTCGTCGCCGCCGCCGCCGCCGCCGCTGTCGTCGTCGTCGTCGTCGTCGTCGTCGTCGTCGTCGTCGTCGCTGCCGCCGCCGCCGCCGCCGCCGCCGCCGCCGCCGCCGCCGCCGCCGCCTCGCCGTGAGCCAAAAACTCCTTTGGGAAAGGGGTCCGCAGTGCTTTACGCCGTTCCCAGCTCCCTGGGGTCCGCTCCACTGGCCCCGGGAAGCGCTTCAGAAACGTTCCATAATCACTCCAGGAAACGTTTCCCTCCAAGCACTCCAAGAACTCCAGAAGCATCTCCTCTGGGCTTCGAGTCTCCCACAAATTATCCAGAATGACAAAACCCACGCCTCCGACGTCATGAGTTTTTCCAGTCCATTTGCCCCAAGAGGTCCCTCGCCCTCCCGAGGAACCCCACGAGACTGGGGGCACGGCCGGGGGAGCGGCCACAGGCATCTTGTTCATGCTGCGACACTCGTCACGGCGCTCGTGGGCTAGAGAGATGGTGGAACGCAAAGGGGACAATAACGTCGTTTCTCGAGCGTCCCATGTCCCAAGCACGGGTGTCCGCGATCCAGACTGGAAGAAGGCACTCGGATTGGACAGCTCGTGGCGTCGGAATTCTGGACCCTCCCAGCCGAAGTCTGCTCAGAGCCGATCCCTGGACCTCTCCGGCCGTGCTCTCGAGAAGGCCCCCGTGAAACCCGAGGGAGGTCAAGCATTTTCAATGTTCTCCGAGGCCGAGATGGCGTCTGTAGATGCCTCCTAGATGGGGTCCGAGCAGATGGGGTCGGATAGTCGCACCGCATCGCAGATGCCTCCTCGATGCGTCGCCGATGCATCGGCGACTACGGCGGTGCATCGGCGATGCCGGCGCGTAGAAAATCGGGGTCCGCATCGAGCCGCATCGGCGATGCATCGGCGATGCGGCGCGATCCTCCGAACCCATCTGCTAGGACCCCATTTGGCAGGCCAAGAGGTCAAGAACTCCCAAGCCCTCCGAGGCAGAGGAGGCGTCTGGGGTCGGAGGCTTCGGCTTCCCTCGTGGCGGCCAGGATCTTTGGCTCGACTCGGACGGCGTCCGGGCCCACGACCTGGAAGACGAGCTGCTCCACAAGGCGCGGCGGCGGCGGCGCGAGCTCCCACGGCATCGAGATAGAGGAGGAGGAGGAGGAGGAGGAGGAGGAGGAGGAGGAGGAGGAGGAGGAGGAGGAGGAGGAGGAGGAGGAGGAGGAGGAGGTAGAGCACCAGTGTAAACCCAAGGGTCACCAACGATGTTGGAACACACCCTCCCCCCAAGCTCCCTGTTTATAGGCCCCTACAACGGTTCATTTCCACAGATGGACCTGCCTCGTTGGAAGACAACCGTTTGAAGACCCTGAAGCTTGCCAAAACATTTTTCTTGGCATTCCAACGCCACGGATGAATATGACTGTTGCGTCTTGACGATGCTGAATCGTGCCAAAACGCCATTCCTGGGACCTCAATTCCGCGAATCATCCAAACTGTTGCGCCCTCAAAATCGTGAATCCTTCCAAAACACAATTTCTGGTACGTCGATCATGGGAACCCGTGAAGCTCTTCCAATGTTGTATCCAGAGAATGTGCGCGGCGCTAGGGCAAGAGCCACATTTTGAAAAGGAGCCGCCTTCAATCCGCAAAAAGTTTTGCATTTTTTAAACAACGTGCGCGGCGTTAAGGCGAGAGCCACATTTTGAAAACGACCCGCCCTCAATCCGTGAACCTCTTGCAAGATTTCGAAAACGAACATGCGCGGCGCTAAGGCGAGAGCCACGTTTTGAAAACGACCCGCCGTCAATCCATGGAATTCTTCCAATTCTGTAGAACGAATGTGCGCGGCGCTAAGGCGAGAGCCACATTTTGAAAACGTCCCGCCCTCAATCGGTGAAACTCTTGCCAATTTTGAAAACGAATGTACGTGGCGCTAAGGCGAGAGCCACATTTTGAAAACGACCCGCCCTTAATCCGTGAAGCTGTTGCAAATGTTGAAAATGAATGTATGCCGCGCTAAGGCGGGAACCACGTTTTGAAAACGACCCGCCGTCAATCCATGGAATTCTTCCACTTATTTAGAACGAATGTGCTCGGCGCTAAGGCGAGAGCCACATTTTGAAAACGTCCCGCCCTCAATCGGTGAAACTCTTGCCAATTTTGAAAACGAATGTACGTGGCGCCAAGGCGAGAGCCACATTTCGAAAACGACCCGCCCTTAATCCGTGAAGCCGTCGCAGATTTTGAAAATGAATGTGTGCCGCGCTAAGGCGGGAGCCACATTTTGAAAACGACCCGCCCTCCATCAGTGAAACTGTTTCTAATTTTTAAGCTTCAGGGTCATAAGTGGTGAGAAAGTCTCAGGCGGAACGCCCAGCCCGCGCTAAAAACTGGCCCCGGGGTGCGACAGGGAACATGCGTTGTGTTTTTTGGTGCTTCAGATTTTTTCTACTGGGAAGGAATGGAATGGGGAAGGGGAGGAGTTGGATGGGTTGGAGGAGGAGGAGGGGGAGGAGGAGGAGGAGGAGGAGGAGGAGGGGGAGGAAAGCAGATAGACTTCTCACCGTTCTTGCAAAAGCAGATAGAGGCTCTGCTTGAGGTGCATGTCCCGAGCTGGAAAAAGATTCCTGTGCTGCCTATGGCAGAATACCTTGGGGTGTGGATCGGCCCAGCTGCGAACAATGAGATGTGGGCGAGGATGGTTCGGGAGTGGGTGGAGGTGGTGAATGCAATTACGAAGCAGCAGGCCGCTCCCTCGGTGGCGATCCAGCTTTATAACTCCCGTGCCATCTCCAAATTCTCTTACCTCTGTCAGCTTGCCCCTCTCCCCAAGCAGATCGCTCGCTGGGAGTCCTGGGCTCTTCACCGTGTCCTTCACCTTCCCTCCTGCACGTTCCCTCTGGCTGACCTCCTTGCTCTCAGGACGTGGGCCAAGGTGCGCCCGCTATCACTTCAGGTTCAGGGCACCGCGACGCTCTGGAGGGCGGCATTCCAGACCATCACGAACTGGAGGCCGCTCTTCGCGCGTCTGCAACAGAAGGCCAAACGTTTCTTGCCATGCGCACCCTGGGCGGCTAATAATTGGTCGCCCCCATTTTGGAAGAGACGACCGTTCGTACAAGAACTCTCACTGGCTGGGTCGGGTTTGAAGGAGTGTGATCGGCTTCGTGAACCTATCATGTCTGCTCGAAGGGCTTTCGCGGAGGCGCAGCTGTTGAAACCGCGGGTCCAGGTCCAGCGAGTCTTCGGCCGTTCCCTGGGTGCCGCTCTGTATCAGGACAAATTCGGGGACACTATCAATCGTAGGATCGCATCCTGGGCCGTGTGGCCGCTGTCAGCTCCCGCCCTGGAAACCATCGGCTGGTTTGCTCTCCGCTCTCGTCTGCTGCAGGCGCCACCATCGTGGCAGATATGCATTGTCAAGACTTTGGCGGGTGGGTGGGTGACGGAGACGAGGATGCCGCAGAAGCACTCCCAGTGTATTTTCGGATGTCTGGGGGAAGAGGCCTCGGACAGGCAGGCCCATTATATGTGCTGCCCAGGAATGTGGTCAGCGATCATCGCTTCCTGGTCTCCCGAGACGCCTCTCCCCCCACCCCCTCTCGCGGCTCGCTCTCGATCGCTCGCTTACAGATTTGGAGCGTGACGTGGCGTGCCAGCGTATGATTATTGCGTATTACATGTGCAATACACACCGTCGCTGCCCCGCCCAGTCTCTCGATTCTTCGGCACGTGCTGCGCGTGCTCAGATGCTGCAGCAGGCTGAGGTAGAGCGGTGAGGACGTTCGGACTTTCCTGGGCTACGTGCAAGGAGGAGGAGGAGGGGGACGGGGAGGAGGTGTAATGATAGTACTAGTAGCCAATCGTAGCAACAACATTGATAATTATACGCAATACGGATGCGACTACTACTACGACTACTACGACTAATTCTGTAGCTAATGCACGTGGTTTTGTAATGTGTAGTAGCATTTAATCATCGTGCACACACATATATATATATATATATATATATATATATATATGCTGATGCTGCTGCTCATGCTGCTAGTTTTTACGAATCCCATATTTACCGTTACTTTTGTTAGTTTCAATGCTATGAAGATGAATGGTGATGATAATGCGCATGCTAACGCCAATGCTGTTGTTACGAAGGCACGTAATCATCGTACTCGGAAGAACAATATAGTAATCGCATTCGGACGAAAACGAACATTACCACAACAAGAACGAGCATTACATTATACTAATAACACTAATACGAACGAATATCACTTATAACTTCATTCATGGGACTAGTGATAAACACATTGCGAATATTAGGGATACCAATAACAACCTTAGTATTACGAATACTGATACTAATTGCCATGATGAAAGACAATACAACCAATACGCATACGAATCTTACTCATATGACTAATTATAATATCAATATTGTTGACCTTACTGAGAATAACATTAATAATACTACAATTCTTACTAACAGTAAGGCTGATGCGGGTAATACTAATAATCAGAATCGGAAAATCAGGAGGAGGAGGAAGAGGAGGAGGATGAGGAGGCGAGGAGGAGGATGAGGCTGAGGGGGAGGAGGAATAGGAATAGGAATAGAAATAGGAATAGGAATAGGAATAGGAATAGGAATAGGAATAGGAGGAGGAGGAGGAGGAGGAGGAGGAGGAGGAGGAGGAGGAGGAGGAGGAGGAGGAGGCAGGAGGGGGAGGAGGAGGAGGAGGAGGAGGAGGAGGAGGAGGAGGAGGAGGAGGAGGAGAGGAGGAGGAAGAGGAGGAGGAGGAGAGGAGGAGGAGGAGGAGGAGGAGGAGGAAGAGAGGAGGAGGAGGAAGTGAGGAGGAGGAGGAGGAGGAAAGGGGGGGATGGGGGGAGGGGAGGGGGAAGGAGGAGGGGGCGGAGGAGGAGGAGGAGGAGGATACTAATATCAACGCTAATATTCCCCAAGCAGAGCTCGCCTCTGTAGGGGTCCTAGCGGATTTAAGGGTAGGTGAGGTGTGCCGCCGATTCGGTGGCCTGGCCCGGGTGCCTGGGTGCCCGGGTGCCCGGGTGCCCGGGTTCGCCGCCGATTCGGTGGCCGGGCCCGGGTGCCCGGGTGCCCGGGTGCCCGGGTGCCGGGGTGCCGGGTTTCGCCGCCGATTCGGTGGCCGGGCCCGGGCGCCCGGATGCCCGGGTGCCCGGGTGCCCGGGTGACGGGTGCCCGGTGCCCGGGTGGGTGCCCGGGTGCCGGGTGCCCGGGTGCCCGGTGCCCTGTAACCCTATAGTGTTGCAGCCCTATAACCCTATCGCCCTATAGCACTATAGCCCTGTAGTAGCCTTACAGCCTTATAACCCAATAGCCCTAGAACCCTACAGCCACAAACAAATTCTGATTGGGTTTTTTTCCGGTATCATTCTTACTAATACTGATGCTGATACAATTGCTAATATTCAGAGTCATACCAATCATCACAGTAATATCAGGAACATATTATCCTTGCACTAAACGTAACAATCATTCTAGTACTTTTCAGTCATAACATAATTTTTAATCATACCAATTGCAACACTAATCGCAGTAATGCTGACCATAACACCAATGCTATGCATACTAATTCTACCACTACCACCACTACCACTGCCAATGCCAGTAATCACCAACACTTGTTCTAGTACATACACGAATAACAGTACTAATCTTGCTAATACTAGTCACACTATTAGTATTAATCGTAATAATCTTACTCGTGCCAGTAATCGTGACAGTAGTACTAATGATAATCATAGTAATGGTACTGATATTACGGATCACCACAATAAGAATATTACTTCTAAGGCTACGAATGCGAATAATATGAAGACAAAACGAACTACGCTACTAATACGAATAATACTGGAAACACTAAGAGTGAGAGGGATAATAAGAGGAGGAGGAGGAAGAAGAGGAGGAGGCGGACGAGGTGGAGGAGGAGGATGAGGATGAGGATGAAGATGATGCTGCTGATGATGATGATGATGCTGATGGTGACGCTGATGCTGATGATGATGAGGATAATGATGCTGATGATGATGCTGCTGATGATGGTGTTGATGCTGATGCTACTGATGATGATGGTGACGATGCTAATAATGATGGGTCTGATGTGAAGAGGAGGAGGAATGTGAATATAAGAGTCGTAGTGGTATTTTTAGTAGTAGTAGTAGTAGTAGTAGTAGTAGTAGTCGTAGTAGTGGTAGTAGTAGTAGTAGTAGTAGTAGTAGTAGTCGTAGTAGTAGTAGTAGTAGTAGTAGTAGTAGTAGTAGTAGTAGTAGTAGTAGTAGTAGTAGTGTAGTAGTAGTAGTAGTAGTAGTAGTAGTAGTAGTAGTAGTAGTAGTAGTAGTAGTAGTAGTAGTAGTAGTAGTAGTAGTAGTAGTTAGTAGTAATAGTAGTAGTAGTAGTAGTAGTAGTAGTAGTAGTACTAGTAGTAGTAGTCGTAGTAGTAGTGGTAGTCGTAGTAGTAGTAGTGGTAGTAGTAGTAGTAGTAGTAGTAGTAGTAGTAGTAGTAGTAGTAGTAGTAGTAGTAGTAGTAGTAGTGGTAGTACTAGTACTAGTAATACTCATAGCAGTAAGACTGATAGTGCTAATTCTTTTAATCGTATCCATAATGCTAATCATCATGCGACTACTAATAATAATAGTCGTATTCATAATACTAATGCTCGTAGTAATGATAATCGTCGAACATACTACTACTAATACTCGTAGGGCATTAGCAATACTAACATCATACTCGCAATACCCGCAATAGTATGAATGATAACTATGCTAATACGTCTATTAATCATATTTCTACTGCGAATAATACGAACAGTCATAATATTAAGAGGAGTAAGAATATGAGGAGGAGGAGGAGGACGAGAAGGAGGAGGAGGAGGAGGAGGAAATGGAGGAGGAGGAGCAGGAGGAGGAGGAGGAGGAGGAAAGGAATACGAGGGAGGGGGCGGTGGAGGAGGAGGAGGAAAAGTCTCAGGAAGGGGAGGAGGAGGAGGAAGAGGAGGAGGAGGAGGAGGAGGAGGAGGAAAAGGAGGAGGAGGAGGAAGAGGGAGGGGACGGCGATCCCCGATTCTCCAGACTCCTCCCTCAGAACATCCTCGATCCCTGTTTCCCGCGCGCGAGGTCTTTGACTGCAGCGCGAGCTCCCGCAGTGGCGCCGACCATAGGCAGCACCCGTTGCTGCCGCCGCTTGCCTTTCCCGCGCGCTCCCCGCTCGCCGCTCGTCGCTCGCCTTTCCCTGCCCTCTCCTCTGCGGCCGCTGGCGGCGGTCGGTCGTTGTCAGCCGTCGCGGTAGCCCTTTGTCGTCGCCGCTGTGGCCGTCGTTCTCGCCGCCGTCGCCTCTCGCCGCCGCCGGGGCCGCTTGCGGCGGTCGGCCCGCGTCGGCCGTCGGCCGTCGCACTTCGTCGCCGACGCCGTCGCTTTCGCCCGCCGCCGCGGCCGTCGCCGTCGCCTTTCGCCGCCGCCGCAGCCCTTGGCGGCGGTCGGCCGTCGGCGGCCGTGGGCCGTCGTCGTCGCCGCTTCCGTGGCCGTCGTCCTCGCCGCCGCCGTCGCCGCCGCCATCGTCGGCCGCGCCCTGGCGGTGCAGCGGCGGGCGCGCCCTTCCGTGCCCAGGTGGTGCGGCAGCTCTGTGTGCGAGACCGAGAGCAGCTGCCTCTCCCAGGCTGGGGCCACCCTTGGGAGCGCTGCGGCGATGGAGCGCCGGTGCTCCGCGGACTCCAGGGCCCAGGCAGAGTTTTCGGAACCTTTCGAAGGTCGGCATCGTGTAGCCAGTCCCCATCGTCACCAGGCCATGGTGTCTCAGCCCCGCTGGTCGACCCCCCCAGGTGGGGATCTGTCCCACGGAACCCGAAGGGAACAGCACATATCCCTACCCGGGGGAGTAAATCGGCCAGCGGGGCCAGGCCATGCTAGGGAGGGCGGGGATGGGTGAAACGATGCTAATTTCGGAACTCTTTGAAGGGCCCCCAGGGGCATTTCGTTTCATCTGGGACCCGCTTTTAGGTGGAAGAAATAAGAACCACAACGAGTAAAACACTAGAAACGTCGGAGAGCTGGGGTTGGGAAGCCTAGGTTTTTCAGGGCTTCGAGGGCCCTGGCAACGACAGGGCTATTTATTTTCAGGTTCTGTTTTGCCATTGTCGTGCCGGTTTTGGCGCCGTTCTTTTTGCTGGTTCAGGTTCCAATCGCGGAGCGGTTTTTTGCTCCACCGTTTTTGGGGGTGTTTTTTCATGTGGCATTTGCCCCAGGGACATTTTTTGGAAACGGCAAAGAAAGTGGCCCTGGCGCTTCCGGGCCCACTGAGGTCCAGGGACTGTACTTCGAGCTGTTTGAGACGGGGCTCAATGCAGACGGGGGTCAGCCAGAGCGCTGGACTTTGCAGGATCCTGCGATGCCAGGGCTGCATTGACCTGGGCTAGCGCGCAGGATCCTGCAAAGCCCGACTGACCCGGGTTTGCATTGATCCGGGTTAGTGCGTCTTTGGGAAGGTCGAAATCGATAGTAAGGTTGGGTAACTTTCCCAATGGGACCCTTGCATACTTGCTTTTTCTGTCCACTTTTCACCACTCTAGATGGCCAGCCCCGCGCGAAAAGCTTTGACATGGGTGTCCAAGGGGCTTGCATCCTTATCGCGCATCCTTACTATCAATTTGACTGTAAGGTCCAGGGCCAGTTTCCATATTGAACCCCTCTTTCTCGCGGCAGCAAGGACTTCGCGCCCGCGGGCCTCGGGCATCGACGTGCCGCCGCCGCGCCGGAGCCTGCCAGCGGCGGCCCCCCGGAGGAGCTTCTTTTCTGGAGGGTCAACGACCGCCCGCCCAGATCGGCGGCTGGGCGGCCTCCTCGTCCTCCCCCACGACGAAACCAGCGCCTACTTACGCTAACGCAGATCAGACCTCCACGGACCATCCACAGATACCCAATTGAGAGGACAACCGCACGACATCACATGGACAGTGTGAGCCCCCGAGGCCCAGACACAGTCCGCAGCGGTGGTCGCATCTCATCGCATCCTCCTCCTCCTCTTCCTCCTCCTCCTCCTAATCCTCCTCCTCCTGCATAGCTGAGTCAAGGCCAGTTGAGTCCAGGCTCTGGGCTGCCGCGGCGGAGTAGAAGCAGCCGCTCGGGTTCTCTAGCACGCGCTTCCTCTGTCGTCCCCCTTGTCGTCCGGCCCTCTTTTTCTCTCTTCCTCTTTGCCTCGCCTCCCTTGTCGTCCGTCCCTCACTCCCTTCCTTCGTGCGTCCTCCCCTCCCATCTGCAGCGCCACAGAGATATGCATGCAGCTCGCAGGGCGGATGCCGTCAAAGACGGTATCATTGCCCACGTATTATGCAGCACGTGCCTGGAGGCTGCCGCAGCCTACGGCTTGACCTGACCTGACCTGGCGCGAGGGAGGGGGCGGCCTTCTGAAAAGACAGGGTGCTATTCAGAAGGGCCCGGAGACTTCCACTCAGACTTATTTCAAGCCTCCGAGGGCTTCCGAGAAGACCCCCTGGCTTCCAAGAAGGCCACCCCCGCTCGACCGTCTCTGGGCAGGGATCGAGAGCCCTGGGGACCGGGGAAACGTCGGGCGACGGCGGCGGTCGGGGTTGATCCCGTGCCCAGGACCAGCGTGCAAGCCTCCGAGGACTTCTGAGACGCCCCCTGGCACCCCCTTAACCCCCCCCCGTGCGTGCCTGCGCACCCGCTCAATGCCAGCACGAGGTCGGGCGTGTCATCCTACATGCGGATCTTGGAGGAAAAACGAGACATAGTCGACAGTCAGTCAGTCAGTCAGAAGCCTTGCGTCCAGGTGGGCGCGTTGGCAAGAAAAGAAATGTGACCCAACGCCACACGAGGCACTCGACGCACAGACGTGTGACCAAACGCCACACGAAGCACTCGAAGCACAGACTGGTGGCCAAACGCCAAAACATATGACGGCGACGCTGGATGAAGACGATGATGATAGAACTGCTCAGCTGCTTAATGATGCTGCATCATTTTGTGCACTTCTTGGGCCCACTGCGGCCGAGGCCGTCCGCGGCGCCGGCGCACCGCCCAGTTCTTGGGCGTTCCGTCTGTTTCGCAGACAACTTGCCGCACCAACGACTGATTCCAAGTTGTAGCAATTCTCCCATAAAGCTTGATTTGACGATCAAGGAGAACTTCAGATCATGGTCTTTGGCCAGCTCGAGTCAAGACCTCGGTGTTCCTCACTCTCGATATATACGAGTGCCGTATGCCAAGGATCTTGCGCACGCACTTGCAGTGAAAATCATCTAATTATTTTTTGTCTGCTTTCAGAAGCCACAGATAATCCAATGAATACAAAAGCTTGCTGACCACGCAACTGGAGTGTATGAGTAATTTCCTGCGCTTCCCAATGGCTGCGTGAGACCATGATTTCTGCAGCGAGTTGAATAGACTTGAACTTTCGCCCAACCTTCGAGATAGTTCGTTCCCGGCTTTGTCGTCGCAAGATACCACGCCTCCTAAATATATTGCTTCTCACGTTTTTGATGGGTTCTCTGGTTGGTATCCTGACCTCCACATCGGAAGATATGTTTATGTGCAATGTCTTGTCCCAATTCAATTCCAAGTCATACTTCTGGCCTTCTGTCACGATAGCTTCCAACATGCTCTGCAAATTGTCTGGGTGCTCAGAAGCCAAGAGGGTGTCATCTGCAAAGAGGATGTCTCGGGTAACGACGTACTCCGCCTCCGCTTGCAGCACCAAACCATCCAGGACGTCGTACAGTATAACTGACTGGACGGCGACGAATAAGTACGCGCTCAGGGGGCAACCTTGTGCTATCCCTGCGGATTGCTTCCGCTCGGTTGATTGTCCGCAGTTGTCAATCATCGTGAAATACCGCTCTGCGTAAATTCCATTCCCCGAATCGTGCTGACCATAACTTGTGGCAGCCCGAACCTCTCGAGAGCAGTGCACATGCATACGGGTTTCAGGCGGAGAAAGGTTTTGGCCCAGTCCAATAACAATAAGAGTAGCCCACCTCCGTTGCGTAAGTGTGCTGCGTCCACCATCCTCCGGACCAACATCAACGCATAACCCGTGCCTCGCTTCGTCCGGAAGCTGAATTGGGACTCTCGCATCCGTTTTTCGCATCCTCCGTCAAGAAGTTTTTGGTGAATTATGGCCGCTAGCGTTTTATAGCCCATTGCCCACAGAGAGATCGGTTCCTTGTTGCTCGGCAAACTTACATCTCCCTTTTTGAACAGCAAACAACATTGGCTCGTCTCCAAGTTGCGGGTATGCTTTTGGTACCCCAACACATTTGGCACACATACAAATGAGCTTCACATGCATCGGAATCTTCTGCGAGAACCTTCCAAAACTGTGGTTGTACTTCGTCTTGTCCTGCTGCCCTCTGGGTTCTCATCCTCCTGATTGCCGTCCTCAGCTCATCCAGCGAAAATGTTTTGGTATTGATTGGCAGCGTATCCCCAAGCTTACTTGTACTTATTGGCAGGACCTGTGAAAAACTCACTCGCCATGGCACTTCTTCAACATATTCCACGCGTGTGTCGGGTCCGGCTGCAGTATCGGCAAGACTCCCCTCCAAGTTCTTCACGCCACCGTGTTTACAAGGTGCTCGTGTGCGTAGCTGTCTGATTGCATGCCAGCCCCCAGCCACCAAAGAAGAGTTCAGCCATCTTGTACGGTCCGCCTGGGCAGCTCGTCGTACCATTTTGTTGTAATTCACTTCGGCGATGTTGTCCCCAGCATTGCGAACATGATCATTTTTTCTATCAATTCCAACGTGCTTGAAGATATCCACTGTCGTCGGGCTGGCGCGGGGCGCTCGGGCAGGTACTTTGAGGCATCTGTGAAAGCCGCTTCTAAGCTTCGGGTCACATCGTCGAGCGAGTCCAAGGATAGCCAGAATTAGTCCAAGATGTTTTGAATTCCTCCGTGAAGGCCTCCTTGGTGTTGGGTTGGGACAAAGCGGATAAGTCAAACTTTGCACTGCGTTTTGCGCCCCCTCCCCGAGGGAAACATCAAGATATCTTTGAATCATTCAGAAAATTGTGGCTGTTCCGCGCTGCCTGCCGAAGAGTCCTAGAATTCTGCACCAACGGAAGAACATAATGATGACATAAGATGTGGTCGATTTGGGAAAATGCCTCCGGAGATGCTGGGTCCATTGGGGCTGTATCCAGTCTTCTGCACGTGACGCGCTCTTCGGCGGGGACGTCGAAGGAGGTGCTTGCAGTTGCCAAATCATGTGCACCACCACATTCCAATATTATTTGCCGATTCGTGATTTGGTTCATGGATTTCTTTCCGGGCTGCGCTTGAAATATCTAACATTTCCTATGTGTCGTCTTTCTCCAGCACCTTGGCGCACTAGCTTCGCGTTGTAATCGCCGGCCGCCAAAGTGGTGCTGTGAGACGTCGTGGGCCTGATCATGTTCTGGAGGTCGTCGTAGACATCCTGCCTGTCGCTCATTTCGTACCCGCTGTGGGGGCGTAGGCGGACAGAAGAGTAAGCATGCCTCCCATTATTGTGATTCGAAGCGACGCTAAACAAGGACTGTGCGCCCTGAAAGCGACAATGGCGCCACGGGCCCATGGGGCCACAATGAAACCAACTCCAGCCACTGAGCGTTTGTTCTCTGCATCCTCCCCAGAAAGACAAATGAAGAACCCCCAATGTTGCTGTAATCTGTGCCATGCAGCTGCGTCTCTTGAGTGCAAAGTATGTATATGTTCATTTTGACTGCGTTGTTTGGACCAGCTCCACCAATTTGACTTCCGAAGTGCCTCTGAGACCCCCCACGTTCCAAGTGCCGATCCTCTGGGTGGCCAGAGGCTTGCAAGAACTGCGAGGCTGGCCCCAACAAGTCCGTATTACTGTGGGTGGGCTAGCCACCGGTTATTATAGCATGTTGTTGTTGGAACTCTTCGAAGTATTATGCGAACATGTCGGAGCTGCTTCTCCATCCGCGTCGTCTTCCAGAGAGCGAAAGCCAGGACTGAGATTGAGGGCAGCGGAGGCGCTGAGTGAAACGGTCTCGCCATTGGTCGTTCCCTGATGGCCAACTCCCTGGCGAGAAAACGATGAACCAATAAGTGGCCGAGTTGGGATCTGTGTGTCGTTCCGTAGGTCCGACGTTCCTGTCAGCGAAAAAGTGCCAGTAGTTGTAGACGTAGTGGTAGCTTTGCCCGCAACACGTCCGATACCACACGGCTTAAAAGATGACGGACGGGTCGAGGTAGTGATTTGGATGCCCATCTCCTGAACATGTCCCAGGCGAGAAAAAGTCGGAAGAACATGTTGACGAGGTGCAGCTGCATATGCATTTGCACAGGTGTGTCCATGAAGGGACCAAGGAGCTTCTTGTGGTAGTGGGGACAAGATGGTTCCTTTGCCCGTTCCTGCCGTCAACGTCGCCGGAGGTATTGACCTATCGGTATCGGTGCTGGTCTCGGCCTCCATCGGCACCGGCCGCATTTCTTAACTTTTCGCGGTTCCTTTGGATTTGCCCTTGGGCCCTTTTTTGAACCCTGTCGTGGCTCTGCTCACCAGGCTGTCGCATCTGTTCACCACTTCTTCATGTCGCTGTGTTGATGGAGATCTTCCTATTCTACCCACTCTTCGGTCCATCCTTGCTGGAGGTTCCCGCCGTCGGTCTTGACAGTAAGGGCGAGCTCACCGCCCACTCGAACCTGGTACGGCGATTCATCCGTGACTTTACTCATGTATTGGATTTGAAACAGAAATTCTTGACGCTTCGCGTATCCCCACCAGCCCATCCTACACCAGGCACTCGGACGAA